TATTGCTGGAAGCGGTTCAGACGCTGAAAGGTCTAAAGATGCGAAGAAGCGGAAGGGACAGGATATGGAATCACGACGAGGAAGAGACATGCTCCTTCACTCTCAATCATCCTATTCCTCCTTCTCCTTCTCTCCCCACTTCTTATCCGCCCCCTCCCCGCATCCTCCCAATCCCATCCCCCAACCCCTCTAGAATTAGACTGGGTCGATTATGTCAAACACAAACCTCCCATAATCTCCGAAAATCTTCCAGCAAATTCCCACGAATCTCCAATCTCCACAAAAAGTTCCCGCGAATATCTAAAACACTTCGAACAGCAAAAAAAGATGACGGCGAACCTAAAAAAAACTCGCGCCTAAAACATCGACTGGCGAATCTCCAAAACATTTCCGCGCCTAAAGATCTCCATCGAAATCTCCGCCAGACAATTTCCGCTGATTTGCTGGAGACTTTCCAGAGAATGTCCAATCATTTCTACACGCCGGACATTTTTCTGGAGATTGGCCGGAGATTTCCAGAGATATTTCTGAGACTTCTGCACGCCCGAGATTTGCCAGAGACTTTCGGGAGATTTCTGCACTCCAGACGTTTTCCAAAGATTTTCCCGGAGATTTGTAAGGCCCGGAGATGTTCCAGAGTTTCGCCTAGAGATTTTAGGGCCCTGAGATCGTTTGGGAATGCCAAAATTCCATGTGGAGATTTCCCGCGAAATTTTCAGGAGATGTTTCATCCAGAGGGCCGCGGTCGCGTTTGCCATATTGACCCAATCTAACCCTACAGGGAAGGAGTAGGGGGAGACACCGCAATGTGGAGAAGTGTAAGGCGGAGGGAGAAAGTGTGGCCTGCGACAGAACTGCAGAATAGAGGAGGCGACGAAACTTCTGCAGATCGCCACAGAGGCTTGCCGGTCGAAGGGACGAGCAAAACGGCGAGATGCACCCCGCACGGCGACACAGCACAGGCCCTTGGGCGCTTGGGACATGCGTTCTGGCATCCGCGCGAGGACCTCGAGCAGCGAGACAGCAAAACCATGGTCTGCGCCACTACGGGCAGGACCGCGTGCGCGACTCGGAAAACCCAACCGTCGGGCTGTGGCCTCATGGCCACGACCCCGTGGGCTTGCACCGGGGTGTTCCCGAAGAACAGCTCAGTGCAAGCACTGGTTCCGGTCTGGCGAACGGGGCCCTGGCAAAGGGGGGTCAGCAACTCAGCTCGCGTAGCTGATTTCCGAGGCGCCTCGGGGCATCGACGTGCCCATGCCTCGGGGAGGGCGCCAAAGGGCGGGGCGAAAACCGGCTGCATGCAGCAGATGTCGCACCCTCCTCACCTTCTCTGAACCCCCCCTTGCGTCCGACCCGAATTTGGGAACATCGTTTGCGGGGGACTGGGAGGAGACTCCACGGGTACGGAACAGTCTGGCGATTAGGCGAGGATCAAGCGAGGCGGCGACACATCAGAGAAGTCTCTACAGAGGTAAGCGGCAGAGTTAGACCTGCTGAGCTTGCAGTGAAACCAGACATGAGGCCTGAAACGGAGCGCTCGTCGACACCTTCCCGGGCAAACTGGGGATGTACTCCGAAACCCTGCCCCTCCCTGGCGCGTTCCTCCTCCTCCTCTCCCTCCTCCTCCTCCTCCTCCTTCTCCTTTTCCCCCTCCCTGATGCTTTCTCCTGGTTCCTCATCTCTCCCGCCCTCTACAGTAGAGGACATACGCACGACTCTTTCGGGCCAGGGGCGCAGACAAGGACGGTGACGGGCACGGGGAGGCCGCGAACGAAAGGGGCAAACCCGCGCAAGACGCTGCGATCCTGGGACGCGGGACCCAGCCAGGATCAACCACCTCGTTCCCCCCCTGCCCTGCCAGGAGAACGAGCAGTAGACAGGAGGAGGAGGAGGACGAGGAAGAGGAAGCCGAGTTCGAGGAAACAAAGGATGGTAAGGGGGACGACGAACAGACATTGGGATCAGGTGGAGGAGAAAGAGCATCAGCAACAGGAGCAAGCGTCGGTGTCGGGAGGGGGCCGAATGAAACCCAAGATGCGCCAACGATGCTGAACATACACATACACACACCAACCCCGAACCTCCCCCCCAACGTCCCTACGTGTACTATTTTCCAGGTAGGCGCCACCTGGAACACGAACATCCAATGGGCGTGCCACTCGGCCCGGAAAGCCATTTCGAACAAGACGTTCCTTGCATCATTCGTGAGACGATCCAGCATACAATGTGAAACGTATGATACCGCATACATGGCAAATGAAACCAAATGACGGAACAACACATATCCTGGCGAAAGACCCAACCATATGCACTTGTGAGTGCCGCGTTGTGGGTACCGCTCTCGGTAGAGCTCCCTGCGGGGCCACGATCCTCGTGAGGGGTGTGCCGAAATGGGCGGGGGGACGTATGCGAACCCTGCCGCGGGGCCTTCTGTGGAGCTTCCCATGGGGCCACGATCCTCGTGAGGGGTGTGCCCAAATGGGCGGGGGGACGTATGCGAACCCTGCCGCGGGGCCTTCGGTGGAGCTCCCTATGGGGCCACGATCCTCGTGAGAGGTGTGCCGAAATGGGCGGGGGGACGCATGCGGACCCTGCCGCTGGGGCCTTCTGTGGAGCTCCCCATGGGGCCATGATCCTCGTGAGGGGTGTGCCGAAATGGGCGGGGGGACGCATGCGGACCCTGCCGCTGGGGCCTTCGGTGGAGCTCCCTGTGGGACCACGATCCTCGTGAGGGGTGTGGCGGAGCTCCCTATGGCGCCACGATCCTCGTAATGGGTGTGCCGAAATGGGCGGGGGGACGCATGCGGACCCTGCCGCTGGGGCCTCGGTGGAGCTCCCTGTGGGGCCACGATCCTCTTGATGGGTGTGCCCAAATGGGCGGGGGATCGCATTTCGACCCTGCCGCGAGGGCCTTCGGTGGAGCTCGCTTTGGGGCCACGATCCTCATGAGGAAAGTGCCGAAACGGGCGGGGGGACGCATGCGGACCCTGCCGGTATGGCCTTCGGTGGAGCTCCCTGTGGGGCCACGATCCCCGTGAGGGGTGTGCCCAAATGGGCGGGGGGATGCATGCGGACCCTGCCGCTGGGGCCTTCGGTGGAGCTCGCTCTGGGGCCACGATCCTCGTGAGGGGTGTGCCGGAATGGGCGGGGGGACGCATGCGGACCCTGCCGCTGGGGCCTTTGGTGGAGCTCCCCATGGGGTCACGATTCTCGTGAGGAGTGTGCCGAAAAGGGCGGGGGGACCATGCCACTGGGGCCTTCGGTGGAGCTCCCTATGGGGCCACGAACCGTGTGAGTTGTGTGCTGAAATGATGGACATGCGGAGAGCAGAGACAAGAAGAGGGAGAAGGGAGGAGGGGGGAGAAAGGAAGGAGGCGGGAACGCAGGGCGCTGTCTCTTCAAGACGAGGACCCAAGACCACAAGGTGGTTGGGAACTACAATCTACCCGTGTAACTGCTGCGCAAAACCAGCTTCCCTACGTTCACGTATGGAGAAGACTTAGGCCAGATCCTTGTCTTGACAGAACTGTGCGACTTCTGCGCGACTCGGCATGTCACCATCGAGGATTGAATCCCCGAGCCCTGCTTGTCCGTAAGGTATCCGAACCTGGAATGCACGGAACTTGTCATGCTTCGCCCCTCGGCCAGTGCCAAATGGTGCCCAATGCGCTGGTGCCCCACGCGATGGGGCCCAGCGCGTTGGCCCTTTGTTGCGTATCCGGCCGGTCGCGCCAGTGCCTATTACAGCAGGTGCCCTCCGCGCTCACGCCCTAAACCTCGGGCGAGCCCCGTGTCGCGTAATCCGCCATCCCCGTGGTTGCGCAGTTGGCCGTTTTGGTGGCCGATGGTTGGTGCCCCACGCGTTGATTGGACGCCCGAGTTATCCAGGGTAACTCGGGTCCGGGGTAACTCGGGTTTGGGTTCCCGGAAAACGTACCCGAGGTAGCCCTGACCCGAGCTACCCCTGATGATTCGGGGCTCTGGACGCCCAACATATCCGGGGTAAGTCGGGTCCGGGGTAACTCGGGTTTGGGTTCCCGAAAAACGTACCCGAGGTAGCCCTGACCCGAGTTACCCCTGACGATTCGGGGCTCTGAGTTGCTGCTCTGTGGCTGGCCCCTTGGTGGCGCAGCTGGCCAAACCTGGTCGGCGCCCTGTGCGGTGGTGCCCTGCGGCTGGCCCTGTGCTCAGAAGCTGGTGTCTCCCGGATCATGCCTGATGGCGATTGCCCTAGCCGTGACTGCCCTGTGGCTGGCCATCTGTTGCATATTCAGCCTTTCCTCGTCGGTGCCGTATGGCTGGCGCCCTGTACGTTGGTGCCGTATGGCTTGCCCTGCGTTCCCTTGATAGCGCACTGATGGTTCTCCACTGGTGCTGAATGGAGCTGGCCCTGTGCTTGCGGGGTCGACCAGTTGAGCTAAGCGCCCTATGGCCAGTCGCGAGCTGTGCTCCATGGCACTTCTTTTCTGGAGCACAGCCGGCCGTTCCCAATCGGCGTTCCATGTCCGTTCGCCGACGTTCTATGGAACCGGCCCCGTTTGTCGCGAGCGGCAGTTCCTTGTCGGCGTTCGCTGGCCCCGTTCCCGGTCGGCGCTGTGCAGCTCCGATCCTGGTCGGCGACTGACGGTGGTCAGAGCCCACGAAGCCCCCAAGACAGCCCCAGAGGTCCCTCAGACGGCTCCCAGAGGGAGTCCAGAGGGCACCTTTACGAGCATTCGGCCCCAAGACGTCCCCAGCCTGCCCCAAAAACACCGCAAGGGGCCCTGAGGGACCTCCAAGAGAACCCCAAAGGCCTCCAAGAAGCCCCCAGGAAGCACCCAAGAGGCCCCAAAACTTGGCCCAAGATGCATCGAGGCGGCCGGATATGGCCTGCAGACAGGCCAAGATGCCACCAAAAGGCCACAAAAGAGCACCAAGAGGTACGATAACAGCAACGAAACAACAGGAACGATGTCGAGCGCCGTGTCATGATTCGGACAAACCTCGTGAAATGCAGTCCTGGAAGCGCAATAGTTTATGTAGGGGTCGGCGGACGTAATCACGGGATGGCTTTCGCTGAGGAGATCGACCACTAACCTGGGAGCCTGGGAACCCAGAACCCACCGAAAGCGGCCCGGAACCAATAACCGGGAACCTGGGAACCTGGAACCCGGAAACCAGGAACCCAACCTGCTACCAAAATCGGCGGGATTGTTTCGCCAAATCTTTCTACTTCCGCTAGGACCCCTTCAGTGCAAGCACCGATTGGGGAATAAGCACAAAAAAAACTTCATCTCGGGCAAATTGCCTCAAGAGAAACGCTGCCGATCTAAACTTGTCCGTCGGCGGGGTTACAAGGGGGAGACGGCGGCGGCCCTCGGCTGGTCCAGCGGCGCTGCCGTGCGAAGGACGGCGCCGCCGTCGCCTACAGGGCGCCTGCAGATTCGCACCACATTCGCCATAGATGCAAAACGTTGACATGTAAAATCCATAGTTGTGGGGGCTGGGGTCGGTGTCCCACTCGCTGAAGCTTGAAATTTGGCCGTGTGGTCTTCAAATGTAGCTCTCGCCTTCGGCTTCAAAAATTGCAATAGAGTAAGGTCCAGAAGCGGGACGGATATAAAAAATGGTTTTCGCCTCAGCGCCGCGCACATCCGTTGTAAAAGCTCGCAACGGCTTCACAGATGGAGGGCGGGTCCTTTTCTAAATGTGGGTCTCGCCGTAGCGCGGTCCACATTCGTCTTGAAAATTCGCAACGGCTTCACAAATGGAGGGCGAGTCGTTTGAAAAAGGTTGCTCTCGCCTTCAGCGCCACGCACATTCGTCTTAAAAGTTTGCCACCGTTTCACAAATGGAGGGCGGGTCCTTCCAAAACGGCTGATCTCGCCTGAGCGCCGCGCACATGCGTTTCAAAACATGCAACCCTTTCATGGGTGGAGGGCGGTTCCTGTTCAAAATGTGGTTCTCGCCTTCGCGCCACGCACATTCGTCTCAAACATTCGCAACGGTTTCACGTATGGAGGGCGGTTCCTTTTCGAAATGTCGCTCTCGCCTGGACGCCGCGCCGATTCGTCCCAAACGTTTGCAAAGTCGTATGGTCGAATCCTCGGGAACGGTTTCCTGACACGAGTGAGGATTGTCAAAAAGAAACAATCACGTTGATTCGCGGTGTTGGAGAACGTCCTGGAAATTGTGTTCTGACATGACTTTGGATTGTCAGGGCGTAACCGTCACTTGAACCCGCGGCGTTAAAACCCCAGGAACTGCGCCTTGGCACAATGAAGTGTTATCAAACGGTTGTAATCTATTGGGCCAGATCCCGCAATAACGAAAAATGATGTTCGGTACCTGCGAAGAGGGAACTTGGACGGCGGTCAGACTGCAACGTCGTTGATGCGTCTTTGGGTTAACACTGGTCCCTATCCTCCTCCTCGTTGCTCCCGCTCATCAGCACCATCGAAGGCAACGTGCTTCGTCCTCCATCCTTCCTCAAAGACTGCTCCCTCTGTCCCTGTTCACTCTCTCCATCGTCCTTCTCCTCGTCCTCATGCATCCCCCCTCCCCTCCCTCAATCCGTCCCCCCTCCCCTTCCGCTGTCATCCCTCTTGCACCTCTACTCTTCCTCCTCCTCCGCCTCCTCCTCCTCCTCCGCCTCCCCCTCCTCCTCCTCCTCCTCCTCCTCCTCCTCCTCCTCCTCCTCCTCCTCCTCCTCCTTCCTCCTCCTCCTCCTCCTCCTCCTCCTCCCTCCTCCTCCTCCTTCTCCTTCTCCTTCTCCTTCTCCTCCTGCGCCTCCGCCACCTCCTCCTCCTCCTCCTCCGCCTCCTCCTCCTCCTACTCCTACTCCTCCTCCTCCTTCGTTCTCCTCCTCCTCCTCCTCCTCGGCTCGCGCGCGGAGCGGTTGGGCGCGGGGGGGGCCGGCCTCTAGCTCCCAGAGGCTCAGCTGCTGCGGGCGGCGGCGGCAGAGAAGGGCTCCAACGCGGCCAGGCGATTCCGCAATTCGACTGACAAGAGGAGACGGAACACAATGAAGCGGCTCTGGGACACACACACACAAATACATACACATAAGTCCTAGGATTCCCTCTAGTTTTCCATATTTTCTGGATGTTCGTCTCCCCCCCCCACTTCCCATATAGTCCCAACTGTTCGTGGGAGTCGACGCTTAATTGTGTATGTGTTTTTTCCCCACCTGACACAAGAAGGAGGGCGAAACGGGGGTGGGGGGGGGTCGGGATGCTGGGTGGCTCGCGAAGGGGGGGGGCTTCTTCTACCCAGGGAACCCCACACGCGCGTCTCATCGTCTGGCACATTCCTCTTTGAAGACCTGAGCGCGCATCTGGGCGCGAGTCGGGGCGATGCGAGTGTGAGCGCTCCTCCCTGCGCGCCGCTGTCAAAATACAGTGTCGCCTCTATGCCGCCATGTGCTACTCACCGTTGGCTCCGCCTTGGAGTGCCCAAGTGTTACGCCTGCTGCAGCGCGGTGGTCAAGGGCGGCTACCACATGGATGCTATGCCTGCCACGTCGCAGTCGTCGTGAGAACCCTGACATGGAGGGGTCGGATGTGCGAAACAAGCACCTCGCTCGGGGCATCCTCACATTATGCAAGCCAACTGGTAAAAGTAACATACCCTCACGGCTCATCCCTGGGGTGTTCAAATGCCACGCCTGCCACATCGCGGTGCTCATGGAGCTCTGAAAAGGGAAGCAGTCGGGGGCGACAAACGAGCGCATCGGCTGAGAAAACCCCGCAATCGTGACGCGAGCGGGTTAGTGTACCACCTCCTGGCTGCTCCCTATTGGGATCCACAGATGTCATGCCTGCTACATCGCGGCCATTAGAGAGCACCGAAAAGAGAGCAGTCCGAGGTTCAAAACGAACTCCTCGCTTGAGACATCCCCTCAACATGGGGGCGAATGGGGAACTGCCATGCCACCTGACTGCTCCCCCTTGGGCTGCTTGAGTGCCATACCTGCTACGTCGCGTTCATCAGGGGGTTCTGAAAGGAAGAGGGTCCGAAGTGAAGACATTCTCAATCTGGGCGCGGAAGAGGGCATGGCATACCGCATGGCGCCGCCCCTATTGAGGTGCTCAAGTGTTATGCCTGCTACGCCGCGGCGATCATGGGCGAGTCTGCGTATGAGGAGTGAGTATAGGTGGGTCTGACAGAGAGTGACAGAATGCGAGTGTGAGTCCAGATGCAAGTGAGAATGAGTACGGCTCATCAGAGTTTGAGCGGTCTATGGGTAAGAGTCTGTGCCTGACTGAACTGAATATGCGTGGGTCGGAATACCATTCGATCTGCGGGTGTGTACGCGTGTGGCCTGGAGTCAGTCTGAGCATGAGTGAGTCTCAGTATGAGAGAACTGGCGATGAGTTCTCAGACTGCGTGAGTCTGCTGTGAGCGAGTCTGAATGTAATCAGAACTCTGGGTGTGAGTGAGCCTGAATTTGCCAGGGTATGAATCCGCGTGGGAGTGAGGAGAGGAGGGAGGGAGGAGATGGAAGGTGAGGAGGAAGCCGAGGAGGCGAAGGCGTCACACTACTATCTCGGGGTATGGGGCAAAAGAGGTGCTCTGGCACCCGAAATGAAGAGGGAAGCAGCAGGGCCTATCCCCCATCCACACCCCAGTGCGATGGCATTGGGGATGATCGCAGCGCATGGCGTTGACCGCCCCGCCACACAATACATCCGACTCGAAAATGCATGGCATTGGGGACCGAATGATATATACTCCTCCTCCTCCTCCTCCTCCTCCTCCTCCTCCTCCTCCTCCTCCTCCTCCTCCTCCTCCTCCTCCTCCTCCTCCTCCTCCTCCTCCTCCTCTCCTCCTCCTCTCCTCCTCCTCCTCCTCCTCCTCCTCCTCCTCCTCCTCCTCCTCCTCCTCCTCCTCCTCCTCCTCCTCCTCCTCCTCCTCCTCCTCCTCCTCCTCCTCCTCCTCCTCCTCCTCCTCCTCCTCCTCCTCCTCCTCCTCCCCCTCCCCCTCCCCCTCCCCCTCCCCTCCCCTCCCCCCTCCCCTCCTCCCCCTCCTCCTCCCCTCCTCTCCTCCCTCCTCTCCTTCCTCCTCCTCCTCCTCCTCCTCCTCCTCCTCCTCCTCCTCCTCCCCTCCTCCAATTCATCCCCCATCTCCAACTCCTCAATTCGCTTCGCGTGAACGGGCTCAGATGCGCCGCGACTTCCTCCCCCACGTGCGACAAATCAATCGACGATTCCTGCTTGCTGGTCGCGCAAAGGTGGTGTTGCCACGGCATCAAGCTTCCTAAATCGATCGCGCGCGAGCCAAACCCGAGCGAACTCGGAAAACATCCCCCCTGCCCGCCAGCGACCTGTTCGCGTGCCTGCGCCAGCGATGTCCCGAGGCTCGCGACGCGAGCAGCGTCGGGGATCTACGGGTGATGGGGCGACAGAAGGGTCCCGATACTGAGACTCCCCGCACCTCTCTAGGGGTGCATTCTGACCAGAATGTCGAGGCGATTCCGGTCGTGATGACGAGAAATGGGTAGCGGTATCGGAATCTGTGCCTCCTCTGAGGCGATGGGCCCCGAACTCTCTGCGACCTCGCAATGCAGCGATCATCGGAGTCGCTGGATGGGAAATCCTGGTACTCAAAGCTGGCGGTCAACCGCCGAGCAGTGCGCGGCGCGCTCTGGCGGGGCGCTGAGCGGCGGCAAACTGCGCGAGCTCCCCATCCAGAAGTTGCCAAACGGCGAGTGGCCCCACAATGAGGCGCGCTCTCAGATCTCACGAGGTCGCTCGAGCTGGCGGCCAGCCTGGGGAGCTGAGGGGGGAAACGGCTATTCACACTATCAGCACCTCCTCTCGCGCGGACGATTCCACGACTGCCCGGCACGCCGCGCGGTGCCCGACTTGGAACATTCACTGAACCGCAATTCCATCGATCACGCGTGATATTTGAGAGCTTGCTGCCAGAAGCGCGCGGCGGAGGGGAGGGAGGAAGGGAGGAGGGGAGACAGGAGGAGTATGGGGCGAAAGACAGCAAGAGGGCGGGTGAGGAGGGTTGGGGAAGTACCAGGTCTTTCTGCCTCCCTCCCCTCCTCCTCCTCCTCCTTCTCCTCCTCCTCCCCATCCCCCCCCTCCCCCTCCGTATCCTCCGAAGAGGATGCAACATCTGCGGGCGAGGCTGGAGTCTCCCTTCCTTGAGCAACACGCCGGGGGTCCCACAACCGTGCTGTGACGGACCGAGGGGTGACCTCGAAGTCCTCAGAGACCTCACCGAGCGGACCGCAACCACATGTTCGTGGGACCTCGGAAGCCCCGGTCGCCCGAGACTTCCTCGGAACACGATCCGAGTCCCAACACTGCCGTGCGACCCCGAATCCCCACTGACTCACGCGGTGTGGTCACCACCCCGCTCGGGGGCCCACGAGCGCGGGGCTAGGCCAGGCCCGCCCTGCCTCGGGCCGCCGGATGACCTGCCTCTTCGGCGCGAACGACTCGATCCAGCCCTGCGGGTCCGCGGCGCACCGCTGTGCCACGGTCTGCTCCCTGGTGGTTCCGCCCTCTCGGTGCTGACCCATCCTGCTCCTCCTGCTCTTCCCGCCCCTCCGCCCCTCCGCCTCCCCCGTCCTCCCTCTCTCCCCCCTCCTCCTCGCTCGCTCGCTACCTACCTGAGGGCTGTGGCTCGAGGCCTAAGCTCTGGAAGAGGACGAACGAGAAGGGAGACGCTCCAGACGGAAACCTCCGCCTCGAACCCCAAGATCGTGCAGCACACGACGTGGAACGAACAGGGGGAGGAGGAGAGGCTCGCACTGGACGCCGCCAGCGGTGCCGCTGGTCCAGGGTCCAGACCAGGGCCTCATCACCTCCCCACCCTCCCTGCCCACCGCCGTCCTCCCAATCCTCGGCCTCCTGCCCTCCCGCGCGACCGGGTCCCGCTGTTCTGCCGCCCACCCGACTCAGCAACACTGCACCTGACTGATGAGATCTACGCTCACCCGACAGGCTTGGGCCGTTCGACTTTCGGGAGCGGCCAAGAGGGGGGTGTCCAAGAGGGGGGGGTGCAAATCATGACCGGCGGCATGTGCGCGGCCCAGCGCGGTGGCCAGGGACGTAATGAAATGAGACGAGGCGCCAAGAAATCTGGGGAAATATCATGCCCCCCGCCATGATATCCCCCCCCCTCCCTAATCATCACCCCCCTCTTTTCCGGCCCCGAGACTTTCAGAACAGACTTCCCGGCCGGTCCACCCTGCACACCGCGGCCGCCAGATCCCCAGGTCCCCCGAGTGTCACCGACTGTCCCGCCTCGCGCCGCTGTGCGCACCGCGGCCGCCAGATCCCCCGGTCTCCCGAAGCTCCCCGCACGTCCCGCCTCGCGCCACTCTGCACACCGCGGCCGCCAAATCCCCAGGCCTCCCGACTGTCCCGAGTCCCGGCTCACGCCGACTCGCCCACTCTGAATACCGCGGCCGCCAGATCCCCAGGACTCCCGAGTTTCCCCGAATATCCTGCCTCGCGCCACTCTGCATACCGCGGCCGCCAGATCCCGAGTGTCCCTGAGTGTCCCGCCTCGCGCCGACAAATCATAACCGGACAGATCGGTAGTATAAACTGGCCAAACATCGAACAACACAACACTATGACAGAACAAAGCATAGCATCACACCACCTAATGGAATGTACCCGAGAATAACATACCACATCATGGCATACCATACAGTAACATACTACACCATCACAGGGTAACGAATACCATAGAACAACATCATAGCACATACCATTCCGTAGCATGACAAAGCCAGCATACAAAAACACGCAGAACTGAACATGTCTGATCACAAACTGCCACAGCCTGATATGATACGACATAGCAGGTGATAGCGCAACATAGCATAGCATCGCATGCTATGTCAGATCGGATAATACTTGCTATAACACAGCAGACCATGACACAAATATAGCATGATAGCATGACAGAAATCAGCATTGCAAACCATATCATGACACACCATACAACAACACAACACAACACAACACAACATCACAGCACAGATGGCATGAAACATGGCAACGCGACACATAGGACGAGTCATAGCATGACAAAGCGCGGCATACGATGCTACAGCACAGAAGAACATAACATAGCACATAGCAGCAAAGTTTAAGACATACTGAAACACCAATAATAAAGCATCAGCGCACACCATAGCATACTATAACATGGCATAGCACAACATACCATGACACAACAAATCATATCATACCGTAACATGGCAGGAAATACCACACCGTACCACAGCACCAAATCAGATAACATTTCACAACCTGACAAATCATAGCATGACAAAGCGCGGCATAACACTAGACCAGGACAGAGCATGCTACATCCGAGCACCATAACATAACAACGCTTAACAATTCACATCAGTCCAGAATAGGACATGACGGACACGTCGTACCAACGCATTCAATGACATCATGGAGCATACAGAGCAACACATAACACCACACATCGTAACACATCAGGGGGTGACAAACCAGACAGTAGCGTAACCGAACAGATCATAACATGTCACACGATGACATACCACATCATAACATAACATAGACTCATGACATGCCGTACAAGGGCAAAACATTCCATGAAGCAGAATACTACAATACAATCAAAAGCGGCGTGCGCGCCGCGGTCAGGCTGGCCTCAGGAGCAAACAGGCGCAGCAACGAACGATCGGACGACGTGGCAGGCGTCACGGCGCCACGCCGACCCGTCGAGAAGAGAACAGACATAAGAAATAACAACATAACAGAACATTGCGTTCTGGCCTTTTCGCTTCCAGACGCTCCAAGAGGGCCCAAGAGGCCTTCAAGACTGCTCCAAGACGGCCCACGAGGCTCCCAAGACGGCCCCGGAGCGGCCCAAGAGCGCCCCCCAGACGGCCCAAGTGCTGCCCAAGGCGGACCAAGAGGCCCCAAGACGGGCCCAAGAGGGGCTCAAGAAGGGAACCGAGAACTGAAAAATCGAGCCCTCCGCCCCAGAAGGCGCCCAGGACCCCGAAAGAGGCCCCAAGAGACTCTCCAAGACACCCCCAAGACGCCCCAATAAGCTCCCGTGAGGCCCCAAGAGGACCAACAACGTCAGGCCCCAGGCCCCAAGAGGACCAACAAATACCGCCAAGAGCCCGCCGAAAGCCCCCCAAGAGACCGTCACGAGAGCTCAGGAGGCCCCCTGGAGGCCTCCCGAGTTCTCCAGGAGGCCTAAAAAGAGGCGCCAAGAGGCCCCAAACGGCCCCACCGAGGCTCCAAGAGGCCACGAACGCGCAAGCAAACGCCTGCGATGGCACAATACGGGCCGGCGGAATGAGCGAAGCGATTAAATAACAACAGAACAGAACATGTCCAACACGGTATAACCGATAGCGCGCACGTTCCCAGCATATAGCATAGAGGAAGTGTAGAACTACTGCAACCCCTACGTCGACAATCTAGATATAGCATGACTGCTAAAACGCCATGTAATAGGCTATAACGAACAGATCCTACCCGAATTCGCATCACAGAGAATGGCATCATATAGTCTATACTGACAGAACACACGTGGAATCGCATAACGTTTTGCAACCGAGCAGAGCATCTCACAACATAGCAATTCATGCCATGACAGAGGTGAGCATAACATAACGAACAGAAAAACAAAAAAACAGTCAGTTCAAGAAAACTCATAACATTACAAGCCGCAACATGAAAATAATCAAAGGCAGCGTGCGCGCCGAGGTCAGCCTGGCCACAGGCACCAACAGGCGCAACAACGAGTGATCGGGCAACGTATCTAACGTGACAGGCATCACCGCGTTACGCCGTCCCGTCGACAACCTAACTTATCGTTTTGTAGCAACACAGGGTAGAACATGATCGAACAGAACAGACTTGAACACCGTCGAAGACAGCAACGACAGATTGAGGGCGCACTGTCAAACGCAGCATCCGCGCCTGGCCACAGGAAACAACAAGCGCGGCAACGACAGATTAGACGACATCTCAAACGCGACAGACGTCACGACGTCACGCCGCCCCGTCTAGAGCAGAACACAAAGCAACAGATGCGCATAGAAGAGATCAGAACTGAGCTCAACGTGATAGAGTAGAAGTCTGCAGAGACAGAGTACTGGCGGCCTATCATTCGCGACATGCGCGCCAAGCCCAGGCTGCCCACAGAAACAAACAGTAGCAGAAACGACCGATTGGAAGAAGACATACCAAACGTGAAAGGCGCCACGACGTCACGCCGGCCCGTCCACAACAGAACATGGTCTCATCTACTACACTGTGGCAGAACCGAACCGAAAATAAAGCTGAACAATATTACGTATAAGCCAGCCACCACTCCACGGCGTCTCATCAACGGCGACATGCGCCCCGTCGTCAGAGGAGGACGGGGCGTCTGGAGCAGGAGGAGGAAGGAGAGGTCCACCTCACCTCCTCCTCCTCCTCCTCCTTCGTCGTCCGCCTCCTCCTCGTGCTGCTGCTGCTGCTGCTGCTGCTCCCCCTCTTCTTCTCTCAACAGGCTGCAGATTCTCTCCGAACAAGTGTTGGGGTCTCGCAAGACGCGTTTTGGAGGCTGGTTTGTCACTCCAGGGACTTGTTTCGGTTTCTTTCGTCTGGGCCCCTGGGATTGCTAGACGTTCGGAACACATCAGATTGCGACCTGTCCCGGCCGCCGCGCTGACCCTCCAAAGGGAGACCTCCTGGTAGAACGCAGAGTGGTTCACATTACCCGTACAGGTCAATTTCAACTCTCTGCATTGACCCAGAGCTCGTGTGCCTAATCCTCCTCCTGCATGGAGAACGCACGGACGATATGCTGGTCCCCTGGTGCCGCCAGGCCTCGCTGCGCAGGAACAGGATACAGTACACAGGAATGTTCGCCGCTTCCCCATATCCCCAAGACGATTGGGACCGCCCTGGTCAACAGGCATCTCCAGGGACCCTGGAGCGGACCAGATCCCGGGAGCAGCCGTTTCGACTACACCAATGAGACCGAAAAAGGGATGTATTCAGGGAGAGGGGAGGCACTGAACATACATGTTTCTCGCTTGCGCTGCAGGGGGTGACGGCCAGGCACGAGTCGTACTACCAGGCCGCTCTCCCTGCCCCTGGCTGTTGGCCATCAGCACAGGGTCCCCCCCGACTTCTTCACCTTACCACTGGTGCTGTAGAAAGGTGCACCGCCAGCAGATGCACAACTACCGAACCGTCCGAGCCATCGGCCAGGGCGCACTCGTGCCCCTTCCTCTGGGAGAAGGGCGGAGGATGGCCGAGGAAGAGCTGCACATCGACCAGGAGCAGGCGGAGGCCCTCCCCCCTTCTGCTGCCTCTCGCGCAGAATTGGCACTGTCAGTACTCACCCAGTCAGGCCCTATGAAGGACCAGAGAATCTGGGTCCTGAGGAGCCCTAACAGACTTAATGTTTCCGATAGCGGGGTCCAACCGCGGCAACAACGGTTAGAGCCGCGCGACGACCAGCAAGACCACTGACTTGGCAATCCGGATCATGCGGTCCACCTTGTCGGCTGTGGACGGGTCGGGGGCTGGGTGCAGAGCGCCCAACCCCCCCCTTTTGCGAACGAGGACGAAGAGGACGACGATGTCGAGGAAGAGGAGCGGAAGGAGCAGGAGGGATGAGGGAGAGGATGCGGATGGGGAAGGGGAGCGGGAGAACGAAGGAGGATAAAACAGACGGAGAACAGGATGAAGACCATGGCGAGCTCAAAACGCATTAACGATGCTGCAATACAGCCTCCGGTCCCGAGTCCCCTCCTCAGCAATCCCTGCATAGGTTGCTTCTCACTGTGGGAAACGCCCCCCTTGGCAGACGAACGCCCCAAGTCTGCCGTTCGGACGAGACCCCATTGTGTGAAGGATCCGCATTCCGTCATTCGAACTCTGAGACATGCAGAAGAAATAGGATCACACGCTTCACGGAGCTGCCCAGTGACAGATCCAGCATGAAAAGAATGTGCCCTCCGCCCGTAGAAGCGTAAAGGCGCATAAGCACCGTCCGACGTAAAAAGGTCGTGCCGGAAACATCGAGGATGACTCAGGCGAGACTCGCATCTAGAAATGAGATCACCATCCATCGGTGTAGCCGTGGCAGATCGCTCCAACTGCAGATCGAGAACATAGGGAAATCCTGGGCAACCAAGAGATGACGTTTGAAGCGGAACCGCCCACCTCCATCAGTGTGAGTGTTGGACCTCTGTGAGGCGAGTGCACGCAGCGCCGAGGCGAGAGCACAACTTTGAAAACCAACCATCCTCCAACCATCTAAGCACTGGATGTGTACACGGCGGATGTGGGCGGCATCAATGCGAGAGCTATCCATCCGTGGAACTGCTGGGAACTTCAAGCTTCACGTATCGCAGGTTGTAAAGACAATTCGTCTTAGGCGATGCGTCTGACTCACCCTAACGGCGCGTCTGGTGGTACGACATGGAGGAGTCATGTATAGGGAGAGGGATGCAGGAGGTGGAGGGGGAGGAGGAGGAGGAGGAGGAATGAGAAAGCGTCCGTCCTTCTCTTCCTCGTCTTACTCCTCCTTCGTCTCCCCCATATTCTCATCCGTTCCCCATCCGCGCTTGGCTGCCAAATCCCACCGTCACCAATACCGAAACATCTTTCGCGCACACACACAGACACACACACACAAACACACACACACACACACACACACACACACACACACACACACACACACACGCATACACACAACCACAGTGAACCAAACACGAAAAGTCTCTTTTGGCGCCGATACCCTCAACTCCTGCACGCTTGCCTCAGCCGCTGATACTTAGCGCGGCACAGAGGGCGTGATCCGAGTCCTGGAAGAGTTCCTTCGGCGTTGGTCCCAGCTGGGCGGGGCTGAACGCGATAAACTCTATGAAGTTCTGGTCCTGACAAAGCAACGAACTACTAACGTTTTATACATTGAGCCTATATGCGTCTTTACTGCGAGATACATGTGTGCACAACGCCCCTACAAAGTCAAGCAACAACATAATACACTACCAACCTCCAGAATATATACATACCCATATCCAACTCCTTCTGCGTCCTTGGCGCGTCTCGGCTAGGCCTCTGATCTGATAATGGGCGCACTAATTGGTTTTCCTACTCCAAAAGTCAGAGCTTAAGCGGAGACAGATGAAAAGCCGGGTACGAGGGAGATATCCGGTATGAAAACCCCTCGCGACTGCGCTGGTCATACGAAGTCAATGCACATCCATCGAGAATAGAATGCGTCACGGAAGCCCTGGCCAAAGAGCAACCAACTACCACGAAAAGGCACATACCATCTATGGAAACATGCATGGAAGTCAAAGCTTGATTCAAGTGCGCGGGTTGGCAGTGGGACTCCTGATCTACGGCGTCTATCTGCACGATAACCTGTTTGAGCATACTCTGTTATCTCGAGAAAAGACTCAGGCACGGTACAGCGTGAACGCGATGGGCGCGGGACATACACAGCTCCACATCATATCGCTCCAATCACACACAAATCACGCGTGCTCAGGGGCGCGCAACGGGTTGCATCAATAGTGGTCACCACGAATGTGAAGGGTGTTTGCTTTATCGAACGCACTACCCCTTTTCAGAAACCACTAAACAAACAACGCATCAGCGCGCTTGCCTGGAAACACAAGTATGATGCAATTCCCCTATCCTTCATCTTAGCCTCTGGCCCCAGCTGCCAGTATAGAGGGAGACGAACAAGGTGCAGCGTGACAAAATCAGACCAACGGTGTCATAGCGAGCGCGACCGACACTCGTTTCAAAGACGATCACGACGCCGGAAGGACGCAGGAACCGGGGCCCACCTGCGGCGACCTCGGAGGTAGCATGTAGAAGCCGCCTCCGGTTTCCAGACCTCGGAGCCGACGCTTTTAAGTCCACCTCCTCCTTGACTGGCTAGGCTGAACAGGGTGATGGTGCCATGGCCAACTTCCATTGACATCTTGGCCCCCAAACCAGGTGGTGAGACACCAGGTGGCGACCTGGAATCCCCAAAAAGGTCACCGCTGGGTTTGGGGACACGGGGTCACCACCGGGTTTTGTGACTCCTGGACCCACCAGTGTTCGGGACATCCTCGGAAAACCGCACGAGTCCCCAAACCTGGTGGTGACACCAAATCGCCCGAGACTCACCGCCAGGTGTTGTCACCACCACGTTTGGGGACCACCAAACATCGTCCATCCCGCGTGCACTGCAGCCCGGACCGCTCCACCCAGGTCTGCAACTGCGCACTGCCAGCCTCCCGTGCCCGCTCCCTGCTCGGGGACCCTGCCTGCAGCGGGTGCGCAGATTCCACGGGTGAAGGAAGGGCAAGGGAAGAGGAGGCGACTCGTGGCAGACGGGGATCATGGCAACAAGACCTGCACGTAGAAGACCGAGCGGGATTCGACTCCGCTCCGAACCACTCTCACCGAAGGCCCACGGAGCCGTCAGCGGGCGATAACCCATTCAAGGAACAGGAAAAGTGAATTGGAGTACAACTGCTTCGCACAACTACCAGAAACAAAATCGCTAGTCCCGTCCAAGTCAAGCACAAGTAACTTAGGCCTGGACAATACAAGGACGGCAAGGTCATTCCTGCAGAGACGGCGCGAGATCGTTCACTTGTCCGTCCCCTTGCAACATCGAGCGAGCGAGGGCGAGATGGAGCAATAATGGGGAATGCTGCTACTACTGATGATCATCCTCACCATCATCATCATCATCATCATCATCATCATCATCATCATCATCATCATCATCATCATCATCATCATCATCATCAGCATGATCATCATCATCAGCAGCAGCAGAAGCAGCAGCACCATCTTCAGCACCACCACCACCACCATCATCATCATCATCACCCTCACCATCACCACCATCATCATCATCACCATCATCATCACCACCATCATCATAAACATCAGCGTCAGTATCAGCAGCAGCATCATCAGCAGCACCAGCACCATCATCATCAGCATCGTCAGCAGTAACATCGTCATACTCATCATCAGCAGCACCATCATCATATTCTTCATCAGCATCATCATCCGCAGCATCAACATCATCACCGTCATCATTATCAGCCTCAGAATCAGCATCATCATCATCATCAGTATCGTCATCCTCATCATCAGCATCATCATGCTGCTTATGCGCAAGCTGCTGCGGCGACTGCTGGTAATGGCGCTGGTGCTGGTCCTGTTGTTGGTTCTGGTTGGATTGGTGGTGGTGCTGCTGCTTGTGATGAAGGCAATGTAGCGGTGCTGTTGCCGCTGCCGCCGCGGCTCCTCCTACGACCAACGCTGTTGCTGGGGCGAGTGGGCACTGTGGGCTGACTTGAACCGTCTTGCAACCGTCTGTGAGGAACTCCCGCTCTGCAAGCTAACTGAGATGCTGCGCACGCGGTTGCAGATCTATCAAGACAAAAGGTGGAAATGGCAACGATGTGTCGACGGCCTGACGGTGGAGAGCGGAAAGGCAAGACATGCGAGAGTTGAACTTCGCTGCGTATCAAAACCCGAGGGCCATGGCGCTCTGCCTTAGCACCTGCAGACCAACGTCGAGAGGAGGGAAGGAGACCTCACAGTGGGGACCAGCCCAACCTGAGCAGCATCATTGTCAAGCGTATGGGTCCGACAGACGGATCGCCTACACAATGGTACACGCGTGCCTGCCTCTATGTTACGTGCCAACTCTGGCTAAACGTGGCGATGACTTCAACTTCAAGCCAATACGTCAAACCATATTGTTCGGAACACGGTCGCATGCTTGACAATTAAATATACCAAGCATCTGCATTAGCCAACTCGGGAAGGAAGGCTCAAACTGGGAAGCCTGGCTAACATCCTCTGACCAGGCCGCAACCACCAACAACAAAAACACTTTGAGCGAGCCGATGGGATAACGGAACGCAATGCAGGCAAGACAACAATACCGTATGGGCTTGGCCTGAAACAGTCGTTCCCTTGCCTGATGATGTTGCACATCTGCAATCCTCCTCCTCCTCCTCCTCCACTGATCCGCATGCCCGTGCCCGAGAGAAGGACCTCTAGAGTCTGCGAGAGCCCAGACGCCCCAGTCCTTGGGCACCTGGGCTCGCGCGCGCTGTGGTGGAAGCAGCAGGAAGCAGATTACAGGACGAAGGGTCACCTCTCCAGCTGTGTACACTGCGCAATTCGCCACCACGCAGACCAGTGCCCAATCGTTCCCACTTCGCCTCCTGCCGACGCGCCGTGGAAATGTCCTCCTCCCCATCCTGAGTGGGCATCGTCCCAGACAGCGACTCGAGGCGAAGCAGCTGGTGGCTACCAGGGACCTTCTGTGCATGGTACTCTTAGGAATGTGGGTGCTACTGTTACTCATTGGGGCTCGACGCGTCTTGAGGTGGACATGCGTGTGAGCGCACGCCTATGGGCCAATGAGAAAGACAAGACATTCAAGCGATGTTGTTTACGTCGCAGCGCGGCAGAGGCAGTCCGCACGCACTCTTGGGTAAGCCGGGAGAAAATCCAAGCAAACACGAGGACGACAAAACGGGCGGCCTGGACTGGCTACGACGGCGCGGACGGACATCCACAACTCGAAGGCATGGATCAATGAAGACGCTCACAACCGAACAGACATGTTGACACCACGATTTCAAGCACCACCCGGATCTCTGTCCTCCGTTCTCCTCCCGCCAGAGGCGCGGCCCCGTGGACCCAATCGCTGTGAGGAGGAGCAGTTATACGTTGAAGAGCAAGACATGAGCGGACCACGAATCATGGTCTGCGTGGGGATGATGACGGTCAATGACGATCGGCTGTCAAGACACGGCGCCTCCTTTTCGGCCAAGTCCCTCAAATAGTCGGACTGCTCTTCTGTGACACCTGTTCTGGCAGGGGGCTGTTTTCTTCTGGGGAATGCCAAGACTGCCTGCGCAGGACGACCCCCCGCATCTGTGATGCTTGTTTGACAGCTCGGACCTGCCGTTCTCCTTGTTCTAATCTGCTCCATGGCTGTTATCGAAATCAGATCTTGGTGTCTGCGCCCCACAAGCATCAACACCACCCCGTGGCCATGTTGGCACAGGCCTGCTTGGACTGCGGAGCCACTCGGCTGCGGTCCTCACCACAACAATGAGACACACATGCTTCTCTTCGGACCAATGTCCTTGTCAGTCTTTCTGCTTCAAGCTGCCATTCATTGAATGTTCCTCTCTCTCTCTCTCTCCCGTTCTGTATCTCTCTGTCTCTCTCTCTCTCTATCTCGCTGTGTCTCTCTCTCTCTCTCTGTCTCCCTGCCGCTTCGTTGAATACGTATGCGTCCGACTGCGCAATTATGAATCTGAATCGACACTCTCGGGGCGAACAAAGCGATACCGATACGGCTAATCCCCAGACCTGTCCCCGGGTGCGTTCTGACTCGAATGTCGAGGAGAATCCAGCGGCAGCGGCGAGGGCTCTCCAGGACGAGCAGCGGCATCGGTACGCGTGTATCCACGGAATTCCCATGCGGCTGCGCGCCCATGTCACGATAGCAGCCCCGTCGCTCACCGCAGGCTCCGCAGCTGCCAGGAAGAGCGGGGGGGGTGGGCCAAAGGCGGCACGGGCGGGAGCGCATCAAAGTGCTCTCCCACAGCCGATGCACAACAGCCCGCTGCGGGCGCCGACTTTCCCAGTTAGTTCCCGAATCTGGCTTTGCCCGAAAGGTGCTCACCTGCTCGTGAAAGAAAACAGTGGGTGCGGGGCCCGTCCCAGCAGGCGTTCCCTGGTGAGCGTTTCTGTGTTCGGCGTTTCGATATTGTGAGGAAAAGGGGGTAAAGAGGGGGGGGTCTGGCTCCGGAGCTCTGCTTAGTGAGACTGTTTGCAGCAATGCATCCTGTGGGGGAGACTCCACCCGCTCGAAACAGACGCCCAAAAACAGCCGAGATCTACTCCATGGAGGGGGGGAGGGGGGGGGGGGCGAGGGCCCACGCCGATCGGCAGAACAACGAACAAAAAACGATCACTTGGAGTTCCTCGATAATCTACCTGAGGAGGCGGCCCCTGGCGTTGCCGGCGGGGCTTCTCCAAGCAACGCCAAGTAACGCCAAGCAGCGCCTGCCAATGAGAAGCCAATGCCAAGCAATGCCAAGCAATACTGACCATCAGTTCTCAACAATGCCAAAAAATGATCAACAACGCGAAGTAGTACCAAGCAATGACAAACATGCCCAAGGAACACAAAGAATTGCTGATCAGCGCCAAGGAATGCAATGCAGTGCAAAGACATGCAAAACAATGCAAAGCAATTCGAGACAATGCGAGGCGATGCCAAGGCATTCCAAGAAATGCCAAGCAGATCAAAGCATTGCACTGCGTTGCACTGCTTTGCCGCATTGCTCTTGACTGCTCTGTTTTGCCCTGGAAAACAAACCTACCTATGGTCGCGGCGTGTTCATAACTCGGGACGTCGGCGGGTAGAAGGCAAGTCGCGTTGGGTATGTGTGGGGGGGGAGGAGGGACGCGTAGTGTTCCCGTGGTGAATGGATCGCGAAGCGGGTCAATTGAGGGGTCGCTGGCGGGTCGCGACGTGTGCCGCGTCGGGTCGTGGGGCGGGTCGCGGGCGTGTCGCGGGGCGGTGCGTGAATGGGTCGCGGGCTGGATCCCAAGCAGAACGAGGGTGGGTCGCAGCTGGGCTGCACGGCGAGCCGCGACCGGGTCGCGAGCCGGGTCAGATTGGAGGGCGAGTCGTGGGCAAATGGGGCGCGGCCCGGGATGCAGGCGGGGTCGCGAGGGATCGCGGGCCGAGTCGCCGGTGGGTCGCGGGGAGGTCGCGGGCCCGACGACAGAAGACGAGAGAAACAATCAGGAGCGCGAACCACACTTCAGCCGCTCACCCACAAACGGTGTAAGGTCGCTGGCCCCCCGCAATCTGCGAAGCCGTGCACACTAGCAGGATACTCCTGTGCTGCACTGAAGAGGGCAAGGCGAAGCTCAGACCTTCTTCTTCTGCCCAGGCCAAGAGTTGCTGAGCAGCCTCTGGGCAGTGCAAAAATATGGGCACGCTAGTGAATCAATGACACATCACAAAAACGTGGAAGCTTCAGAGCAAAGCTATATCCGCCATCATGCCTTGTGTACGTTGGGGCTAGTTCGAATGCTCCAGTGCTGTTATCTAGGGCCGACTCCGTCTCATCCTCGCGAACGTCGTCCGAAAATCAACCCCTGACCTTGCTCTTCGGCGCTCTGTTTGGCCTCCAGACGGCGCCAAAACAACTACGAGGATCCACGATGGCCTCACGATGCCTCGAAGCTAGCCAAAGATGCCTCGAAGCCAACCCCAGATTCCCCCAAATCGGCTCCCGATGCAGCCAAAGAGGTCTCCAAGAGGCCCTCCAGGCGGGCCCAGAGAGACCAAAATCATATTTCTTCCAGTGTCTTTCTGAATGTGTCTCACACTATGCCTTCCAATAAATGTTTCGCGTTACCGCCGGTGCGGGCTTCTGACAATCCAAATGGGATCCAAAGAATTACGAGCCAAGACGGCGGCCCTCAGGGGGCACCAACACGGCCCAGTGCCTCCGAAGTCGTCAGACCGGCCAAGTAACCCCCAGCATGACCAACGAGGCCACCAAGAGGCACCAAGAGCCCCAAAAGGCCTGCCAAGCGGTCCCCCGAGGAGTCTCTCAGAGGCCCCCAGGAGTCGAGGAGATGTCGAGACTGAGACCCCCTCAAGCTCAGACCACGCTCTGAATTGCAGTGAGTAGTTAACTCAATATCCTGCACGCTGCGCTACTGTGCTTGCACGGTGGCGGGGTTTGCCGCAGACAGCTTCATACTGCACACCCGCCTCCTACATATGCATCGTCTATTTACGTAAGGGCATGCTTACCACTGGAACAGGAACGCGAGCAAGGGACCCAACAATGCGCGACGCGAATGAGGTGGCAACTTACCTCACCACGATTGATCACCGATAGAAGCCCAGAGCATTGATAATTTCCAGTGATATTGCTGGCGCGGGTGCGCAGCGCTGTGGAAGGATCAAGCGAGAGAATCACCAGTTCTGACTAGGCAGGCCTTGGTGAGACCGCACAAGGGGCGGAACCAGAGCAATGGGTGGGTTGGGACAGGCCTACGAGGTTCGCAGTATCAGATCGGCGAAGCCGTCGACCCGACAAACGCAGGCGCGCGAGGCAGAACGAGCATGTAAACGGTGGGACGTTGGCATTGAACATGTTTTCTGTCTGGACTCTCTAAGCGAACACAGATCCTGCTGCTGATCTTGAGCACCAGATTCGAAACGAATAATCATAACATGCGCAGCTAGAAACTAGACGAACGCCTTCTTCCTCGGTAAGATCCAGACCGCATAATCTGGAATGCGCAATCTCTCATCTCTGTTGGCGTAGGAGTCGTATGAGTCGTCGAAAACGACTGGCTTGAACTCTGCCTGCACGGGAGGAACGCATTGCACGAGCGCGCGGCTGAATACTTAAACAAAAAAATAGACCACCCCTGCGAAACTGGCAACCTCCCCCTCCCAGGTACGGGGTGGGGGAAAATGATAGGAAGGAGTAGAAAAGGGGAAACCTCCCTATCCAGGAATGAAAGGAGGGAGGATAGAAACCAGAGACCCCTTCACTCCTCTGCTTTGTGGTGGGAAGCGACGACGCCGACGTCGAACCCGCGACAACACCAGACGACGACGACGGCAGTCACCGACCACGACGGCGACCGACGACGACGACGAGAACAAGCGGCGACAAACCTCGACGACGACTACGACGACGACGACGCCGACGACGACGACTTCGCCGACGCCGACGACCACGCCGACGACAGCGGCTGCGAAGACGACGACGACGACGCCCGATGACTTTCACGATATACGAGGACGACACGCCAGACGACGACGACTACAAGGGCGAGGACGAGGACGGGGACGAGAACGACGGCAGGCACCGACCATGACGGCGACCGACGACGACGATGACAAAAGGCGACGAACGGCGACGACGCCAACGACGACGCCGACGCCAACGCCGACGCCGACGCCGACGCCGACGCCGACGACGCCGACGCCGACGCCGACGACGACGACGGCAGACACCGACCACGACGGGGACCGACGACGACGACGATAGATAACGGCGACGAACGGCGACAAATGGCGACGACGCCAACGAGGACGACGACGACGAAATCGACGACGACGACGACGCCGACGCCGACGACTACGACGCCGACGGCTGCGAGGACGACGACGACGCCCGATGACTTTCACGATGAAGGCGCAAACGACGACGCGCCAGACGACGACGACGACGACGACGACGACGACGACGACGACGACGGCGGCGGCGGCGGCGGCGACAACGACGTCAACGTCGACGACGACGACGACGAAGACGACGACGACGAGGGCGACGACGAAGATGCCTCTTTTCCCTAAACCTCTCCGCGGACGCGCTCTGACCAGGACTTCGAGGTGAACCAGCCGTGGTGACGAGGCGTTGACAGCAGCATCGGTAGATGCGCATCCTCTGAGTCCTCTGACCGTCGCTGCCCCCGATCGTCTTCGGACACCCGAAACCTGAACGGAAAAATGGGCACGATGCCCAACAGCGAATGTTTTCCAACAGCGACAATGGCCGCTGTTGGGCAGGCGGCCCTGCGTCTCAAATGCACAGCGTCCGCCGCGAGACCGACAGCAAGTCCTGTTCATATAGTGGACGGGAACTGATGCTGCTCACAGCATCCATCCTTGCCGTACCAACTTCGATCGTGCCGATCGCCTGCTCACTGCCACCGACCCCCACTCACAAGCGGCGAACGTCTCCATATCTAGGGGAACGAACACATGACATAAACATAAACAACTCTGAGGTCCGCGTCGATTCGAGAAATCTGCGCGGACCCCCGAATCCCACCAGCCCTTTAGGGCTACGGTGGTATAGTGAGTTTGTTCTTCTCTCTTCCCCATCCTTCCCCTGCTCGGGGGAGGGGTTTACCCCTCCCCCCTTTCCCCCTCCCCTGGACCTGGAGGCGGGGGGGGGGACGGAGGCGCCGCAGCGTCCAAGATGGCCCAGGATGGCTCCAAGAGGCGCTCCAAGTCGCAAGATGGCCTCCAAGATGGCCCAAGGTACTCCAAGATGGGTCAAGATAGCCTCCGACATACCTCCAAGAGGCCCCAAGACAGCCCCAAGACGGATCCAAGTGCCCTTCGAGCCCTCCACGGCGCCCTCCAACATGCCAAAACCCTTCAAAAGCCAAGGAAAATCACTGTTTTTTGCATTCTCGCCTTTTCGCTTCCGATGGGCCTCTGGGACCTCAAGATGGCCCCAAGATGGCCCAAGAGAGCCCCAAGAGGGGCCCAAGAAGGCCCAAGACGGCCCCAAGATCGCCCAAGAGGCGCCCAAGAGCGCCCCAAGAGAGCCCCAAGACGCCATTTTTGAGCCTCCGAGGGGGCGGTACTGATTGAGGGACCTCCTCTTTTTGAGCCATGGGGCCCAAGATGGCCCCAAGAGGCCTCCCAGCCTCTCCCAAAGACCCTCCGCCCCGCCCTTTTTGGCCCAAGATGGCTCCAAGAGAGCCCCAGATAGCCCAAGATGGCCTTCAAAATGGCCTGAGATAGCCAAGAATGGCTCAAAATAGCCTCCGACAGCCCTCCAAGAGGCCTCAAGGCAGCCTCAAGATGGCCCAAGATAGCCGAGCATGGCTCAAGATAGCCTCCGACAGCCTCTAGCCGAGCATGGCTCAAGATAAGCCTCCAAGAGGCCTCAAGAAGGCAATCAATTATGGATGGGCTGGTGGGGATACTTTTTTTGATCTGCGGCCCAAAGGACGGCTCCAGAGGGCGGGCTGGTGGGGATACTTTTTTTGATCTGCGGCTCCAAGGACGATTCCAGAGAGCGGGTAGTATAACCTGCTGGTTGGGGATACTTTTTTTGATCTGCGGCCCGCAAGGAAAAGTCCAGAGGGCGTGGTAATCGAGCAAACTGGGCCACAGTGCCAGATGCTGGTGGGGATACGCGAAGCGTCAAGAAATTTAATGTTTATGTCTTCACTCGTTTCCCTAATATCCACGCCCTCGCGGTCTGGACTCTGGGGCGCGCTCACGCGGGATACGCGGCCGCACGGTTCTGGTCCGCGCGGGGGTCGCGGCGGCCTCGCGGGCCCTGGCCAGCGAGGCAGCGGGTGCGGATATGCGCCACCAACACCACGACCGCAGGGCAGGGCAGGAGTTAGCATGGGGTAGAGGGGTCCTGAGGGAAGAGGGGCAGGGGCCCCGGGGCCTTCCCCCAGGACGAGGTCCTCGTCCTGAGTCGTTCTCTGACAGTCCTTGGGCCCCCTGGAGGGCGCCGAGGGCCCGAAAACTGCGAAGAACCTCAGGACCCCTTTCCCTCAAGATCCGTTCCCCCCATGGCGATGCCCGCCGGGCATGACAGCGAGGATGGAACAACCAAAAGGTACCGATACCGTACCCCTACTTCCCAGACCTCTCCTGGGGTGCGTTCTGACCAGCACTTCGAGGCGAATCCGGCCGTGGCGACAACGGCTTCCCAGGAGGACCGACAAAGGGAAAAACGAGGCGAGGGCAGCGGTACTGGTACCTCTTCCCAGCTGGCCACGTACGAACCCTGCCCCCGCCCCACCCACGACTTCTGAGGGGGGGTCCACTCCAGCTCCCGAACGAAGTGAACCCCCACCCGAGGTGGGGGTGTACAGTCGGGGCGCTGACCTAAGAGAGAGCGCGTTTCACGGGCGCCTGCCTTGGGAACATTCGGCGGCGCGTTTCGAACCGGGGAGTGGCCCCCCCCCCCCAACGCTCGGCGCCGTCGATCAGAACCAGGCGGACCCCCCTCCCTCCTAACCCCCCCCTCCCGAATCCCCCCCACCCCTTACCCCCCGCCGACCCCGGCGCCGGCGCCAGGACCGAGGGGGGGGGGGATTCAAACCCCCCCCACCCCCACCCCCCCGACGGCGCCAGCGCCGGCGCTGGCGGCGGCCACCAGCGCCGACGGCGGGGACGCAGCGACGATGACCCAGGCCCAGAAGAGGCCGCAGAGGGAACACACAAATCGCCATATCGAGCCCTCGCATGCTCCTCAGACGCCCCCGAGACCCTTCTGACGAGACCTCAAGAGGCATCCATTAGAACTCTGACCCTCTGCCAAAACACAGTGGCGGGAAGAGCTAAGGGCACACCACCACCACCAGCACCGCCACCACAGACCACCATACCACCACCACCACCGCCACCAACACAACCACCACCACAACCACCACAACCCACCATCACCACCACCACCACCACCACCCACCACCCACCACCCACCACCCACCACCCACCACCCACCACCAGCAGCAGCACCACCACCACCAACACCACAGCCACCACCATCACCACAAACCACCACGCCACCACCACCACCGCCACCACCACGACCAACACACCACCTCACCACCACCACCACCACCACCACCAAACCACCACACAACCACCACCACCACCACAGCCACCACCACCACCACCACAACAGCTCACCACCACCACCACCACCAATACAACATCCCACCACCACTACCACCACCATCACCACAGTCTACCACACCACCACAACCACGGCCACAATCACCACCACTACTACCAGCAGCACAACCCACTACCACCACCACCACCACAACTATAACCACCACAAACCACCTCACCACCACCACCACCACCACCGCCACTACCACCACCACCAGCATCCCCGCCGCCGCCACCAGCTGCCGCCGACGCCGGCGCCGCCGGCCCAAGGAGAGGAAGAGCGGAGAAGTAGGGGGGGGGGGTTCGAAGCCCCACCCCCCTCTGTCACGGGAAAGGGTGGGGGTGGAGGTTCGAACCCCTCCCCCCCCTCATCCAGGGGGGGGGCGGGGGCGATTCCCCCCCCCTCTCCAAGCGACCACAGAACGCGCTCTTTCTGACCTGAGGAACCCTAAGTAAGGAACGATGCCCCTTTTCTCCAGAAGCTGAACTTCGACTCCCCATCGAGAACCTGAGGAAAACGTGAGGCTAACTGTGAAACCATTAAGGAAGAGCCCCTCCCCATCGAAGAGAGTTCCTTCTTCAGCGCCCCCACTGTAGGGCTCGCATGTGGCCACCTTGGAGGCCTGGAAATGGGCACCAACACCAACACAGGGGGTTTGCCTCCACAGGGGGAAGATGGTCCTAGATGTTCGGTGTTGGTGGTAATGGTTCGGTCACCTTGGAAGCTAGAATATTGCCACCATCACCGAGATGGGGATCACCGATATTGGCGTTGGTGTCACAAACCCTAGGCCTGCGACCACCGTTTTCCTCTCGGGTCGGGCGAAAGGGGGGGATAGCAAAGGGGGGGGTGAGAATTAGCTCGCGTAGCTGATTTTCCCGGCGCCTCCCGGCGCCGGGAGGCGGCCATGTATCGAGGCATGGGCCCCTCGGTGGGGCCGAAACCAGCTGCGTGCAGCAGATTCCGTAACCCCCCCTTTCCCAATCCCCCCCTTTCGCCGGGCCCGGCCCGGCCCGGCCCGATATTGGCGTTGGTGTCACAAACCCTCGGCCTGCGACCACCGTTTTCCTCCTCGGAGTCGGGAGCGGCCAAGAGGGGGGTGTCCGAGAGGGGGGGGTGCAAATCATGACCGGCGGCATGTGCGCGGCCCAGCGGGGGGGCCAGGGACGTAATGAAACAAGAAGAGGCGCCATGAAATCTGGGGAAATATCATGGCCCCCGCCATGATATCCACCCCCCTAGTCATCACCCCCTTTATTTTCCGCCCCCGATCGGAGGGGAGCCTCGCCCTCCGCCGCCAGCCGGAGCACGCCGCGCGAGCCGCTCGGGCGGCCCCGGCCCGCCGGGGCGGCCGGCGCGCCGGCGAGCAGGCAGCGCCTGCGGGGGCCGCGGCGGAGGCCGGGAGGCGGCCCCAGGCGCGGGGGCCTCCTCGGCACCCACTGCAGGCGCCCAGGGGCACACCGAGGAAGGAGGGGGAGGAGAGGGAGGAGGAGGGGGAGGAGGAG